AGCGCCTCGGGTGCCACCATCGCGATGAACCGTCTTCCCAGCGGTGAAGAAGCCGTCCTCTTGGCCACCGAACTCATGTTGTCCTCCAACGCCAGTCCCAGCATGCTGCCTCTTCTGCCCGGCACAGCGGCCTCCTGCAGTTTCGGCTATCCCTGCGTGCCGCCAGTGCCCGCGGGCACTCCGGCCTCGCCGGAGTCGGCCAGCAGCCTGGCAGCTCTGGCGGCTGGCCTCCTGGCCTCGCCGATTTCCGGCCTCATGCAGCCAGTTCTGCCCGCCTCCGCTGGTACCGCAGCCTTGCCCGCCAATCCGGCCGTCCCGGGGTCAATCGAACCTCAACAGCCACAGGCGCCGCTGTCTGCTCAGGCAGCCGGGGCGGATGAGGTGAGCCGTGTCCACTCAGGCTAGACAGCATTGCCACGTCTCTGCTGGTGACACGTATCATAATTTTATTTCAACGAAATACAGTCAGCTTCACTAGTAACCTCAACAACCTCACCACTTTGTCCATCGTGACCTCCAACTTATTGCGTTTTGGCTTCCTTGTCGAATCACAGTCCTCTCTAAATCCTTTTAGTTTGCTTGTGTTCTTCATTTCCCCTGTCAGACTGGACAGTTTCATGGCTACTTCTAACTCTTATCGGAATCGCTCTCTGGCTGACTTGCAACCTCTATCCTGCTTGCTCAAAGTCGGAGCATTTCGCTAGCCGCCATTATTGTAACCTCTCTGAGCCATTCCGGTGGGTAAATGCGACGGAATAGGCAAGTCTATGAGGATGTCTCGCTCATTTGTCGACTCTGATGCTACCGCCTAGCTTCTCTATCAGGTTAGATGTCTCAGCATCCTAATAGACTACACATTGGCTTTGTGGGGGGGAACAAGGGGGCGCAAAGATGAGATATGCATATGGTCTGTTCGATATTTGGTAGCAATTCGCTTGAATGAGATGAAAGGGAGAATATGCAACTAAAATAAAATAGGATTCACACATTGACAGAATAAAAGGTGCCATCCGGTTCGGAGTATATAAAGTTAACCATTAACCGCATAAAATTAGGCCTTTCTCGTTGCTTCGCATCAACTCATTTATTTGCGTGTCTTAAGTCATTGAATTTCAGGAATTCTATCCCGGGATGACACTATTTCATTTATTTCCTTTCTTATTCTGTACAAATCGGATTCTTTCAATGAAATGAAAGTATCTAAATTAATTGATAGGATGCCTCAGAATACCTTTTATCTATTTTTAATTCGCTCAAAATTCATTTGAGTTTAGTCTTGCATTTAATAAAGTTATTCGCTTTTCTGGCCATTATCTTCGATTTTTACTCTGCCACTTGATGTCCGATTATTTTTTGATCGGTTAGGCAATCTC